GACACGGGGGACGCCTGCTGACGCCCCCTTGGCTGGGCCCCTGCGGCCGCGGCTCTCCAGCGTCCCAGACGTGCCGTGGGGGCTGCCTGGGAATCCATAGCCTGCTGCCGCAACTCTGTGGGACCCGTCCTCCATCCCAGGCTCCTGCGGTCACTTGCCCTCAGCCCCCCGCACCTGGCCATGTATACCCTTGAACAGGCCACCGGAGCTCCAAGGCAAGAACGACAAAAGAGCCCCTGGTTCAAGTTTTATTTTTGGAACTTGTATGAAGTCACTAGAAGATGAGAGACATTTCTTCTATTTAAATATTTCTAGGCAACTAGAACCCCTGATTACAGACAAAGGGAGCACACTTCACATCTGCCGAGAAAGAGCTAGAGCCACATCAGCATCATGTTTGTGCAAACTCCATCCTCCCTGCCAAGAAGAGAAGTCAGGAAGGCAGGGGAAAGAGGCACCGATGCCCACCTGCCCCCGCCCGCCACGCCCCGGGGCCGCCCGCTGTGCCCAGGGAGCGGTCCCCACACCCTGCTGTCCAACAGCCAGCCACTATCGAATCCGAGAACTCCCAGTCCCCCTTCCTCCTGATCCCCCTTCCTCCAAGTAATAAATGGAAGCCTCATTCTAGCCAAACAGGACCCTTTCAACTTTAAATTGCCTGTTGTGTTCAGAAGCGTGCCTGGGAAATTCAACCACAAATTGGTAAATTTATAACAGGCATAAAAACTCTCCATCTCCTAGGGTGAGAGCTGACAACATACTGCTTTTCTTTGCATACTGAGCAGATGGGACTGTTTGTCCTTCTGTGTTAGACGTGCTGTGTGTGTGCGTGTGTCTTTTGCCCAAGAGCAAATTAGGGACCCTCCTCCCAGTATGATCTGGAGGGGATGAGCGGGGAGGCGGCAATGGCCTCCGTTCGGAGGGTCACTCGGTCCGTTCCAAGCCTGGTCTGGAGAAGTTGGTGTGCAGCCTCAAAGGCAATTCTAACAAGCATCCTTTCTGTGCATGCCTACACGAAGCCAAAGCAAAGCCTTCCCAGGACGCTTCTAGGGACCCGAGCTGCGTTGAACATGTCTTGGAAGTTGGATTTTCTTTCTCCTTAGGGGATGATCTGACATGGCCCCCTTCCTTCCAAACACCAGCTTCCTTGAGCGGCTCCTGGCAAGAGCCTGCAATGTCCCTGAGGGGGCTCACGCTGGCGCGGCTCCACCGAGCTCCCCTGTCCTCGTCTGCCGGAAGGGCCAGGAGCTGCCATCAAGTGGTTCTGCTTGACCAACCTCCAGGATTGGTTAGAGGGAGGGGCTGGCTTCGGGGGGGGGGTGACAACTGAGACGTGGAGGGCGAGGGTCCCAGACGGACCAGCCCCCGACCTGTAGTCAGAGCACAGCCTTCCCTGAATGTCCAGAGGGAATAAGCCCCGCCCTGCACAGAAAGCTTCCCACTCGGTGTGCCGTGAGACCTGGGAAGGCAGCCCCCTGTCCCCGAGTGCTGACCACACTCGGTTAGTGCTGCACAGACAGACAAATGGACAGTGGATGCAGGGAAGCCCTAGGGAGAGGGCCTCTGGCTGGTGGAAACTAACTCTTTGTCAGCGTTGGTCCACAGAAACCCAAGGATGAGGGGCCCCGGGGCTGGGGCACAGGTGTCTACAGTAGTTCTAGCGCACATTCGGCCAAAAAGCTGCAGCCCAATCAAGCTTCTGCACAGCAGCTCCCGAGGAGGGGTGACGTTGGACGCATGCTCCCCGCTCAGGGGGCTTCCTCCCTCCCCACGGCATGCACGGCTTTCTCTGAAAAGCATGCACCCAGCCCAGGGTCAGAGGCAGGCGATGGGCTTGCCAACAGAGATACTCTGAGCCCCTGTGCCCGGGTGCCCAACATATGGGTTCTTGTTCACATGTGCACACACGCACACAGACCACATGACGAGTGTGTGGCTCACCAGGAGGACGGGAGAGACAAGGGTGAGGCAGCTGAAGTGCACTGCCTGGAGCGGGAGCTCTGGGGTCGGTCAGCGGCCCACACGTGCCGTGAGCCCTCGGGGGCCCCAGCTGAATGAGGCTCGGCCCACCCCTCCAGCCAGCTCACACTCACACTTCGCTTACATTTGCACATGTGTTGCTCTATTTTTAAAATTTTCCTTGGAATGCTGTACATTCGGGAACGTGTGCGATTTCCCTGCTGTGGATGAGAAAATCCACAGCTAAAACTCTGCAAATATGCATATTCCATTTCCTCAAATTACTCACCCTCCAGATAAGCGCTCACTCCCCCCGCCCCCAGTCTTGCAGGAAACATCATCATGATGTCCTGACACCAGTATTGCTTTCAAGTTACTATTTTTTTTTAATTTAGGAAGATGTCTCTTGTTGGCAAGAACTGCCCTCCAGCGGATGGGGCCCAGAGGAGAGAGAGAGGGACCTCCAAGCGTGGAGGGCAGCCCATGGCGCTGGTAACTCCAGGGACTGAATTCTGCAGCCAGAAAAGTAGGTGTTTCACACCCACAGGCTTCACTCCTGAGACGAGTGAGTGCCCCCAACTCCTCCCAGAGCTGCAGCGCTGGGACAGTGCCGGGACCTGCCCAGCGGGCTCCGTGCATGCAGCTCAGCCCTCAGTGCACATGGGATGGGCCAGCTCCCCGAGACACGCAGCATCTGGGGCGTGGGGTCAGGGTGACAGGCCCCGAGGCTCTCTGGGCAGCCGGGAGCAGCTCACGCTGCAGGGCTTCGCTGGTCAGTGTGGGGGCCTGCACCCGCCAAGGGCACAGCCCATCTCCCACAGACACAGCCGGACCCAGGATCAGTCATCCCCGCACCTTGCCAACACTTTCTTTAAAGGGTCTCAGCTGTTCAGGACGTGTTTGCGTCAGGGGAAGTCAGAGAGAGAAAGGGCCAAACGAGTGGAAGGTTCTGGCCTCTGCGCTGTCCAGGCTCTCGGGACACGGGAGAGGGGTTCCAAGTGGGCCTCCAGGGAGCCCCCGACAAGGGCCCGCCGCCCACTTTGTAGACCAAGGCCTTCCAAGTGACATTTCCTCCATGGTTTTAAGCAAATGTCTTATCCAATATTTGTGCTAAGTTGACTTTTATGACTTTTTAAGCTCCTAGGCTGGCTCAAAAAGAAATATTTGAAAAAAAAGGCCAGCTTAGTGGAAAGGTCAGGGTTTGAAAACCAAACAGTGAGTTTAAGCAGCCGAGCCAGAGTACATTTCCATCAGTGTCATCCTGAGCAGCTTCAGCTACTGGCCGGCAAAGGGACAGGTCCCAGTGGCCACCGGCTGGGGCCTTCCCCTGGGGAGGCTCCTGAGAGTGGCGACCAGACGCCACCATCCATGGTTAAGACCCGTGTCACCTGTGAGCCGAGGTGGCCTTGAGCCCCCGGGGCTCCGATGTGGTCTAGCACCATCACTTCCTTTTGTGACCGGCACACCCAGGTCCCCATCCCAAGAGCCGTTTACTTAGTTGGTGGACTTGTCTTCCAGAGAGCAAGCTGGTCAGATCCGCTGGGGGTTTAATGCCACTTTTGTTGGCCTGGGCCCTGAACCCTCACACCCTCTGAAGCCACGGCACAATCCTGCAACGCCCACCCCGCAGGTGTTCACTGAGCACTTACTATGTGCCCGCACTGACAGCATCAGTAACAGCCCTGGCCCCAGGGGCCATCTGTTCAATCCCCATGCCCATTTTACAGATGACAAACTGAGGCACAGAGACGCTAAAGCAGTTGCCCAAATACAAAGCAGCAAGGCCAGGATGAAGCCGTGCTGGCTGCCCCCGAGCCTCCTCTACTGGTTTCCAGCAAAGGGATGTTTGTGTTGTCTTCGAAGGCTGAATTTTTAAGCACATATTTTTATGTGCTAGGATCCCCTGATGAGAACATCAGGTTTCTGAGGAACAGTCAAGCCCAAAGCCAGCTAAAAAGAGAGGAATAAATACAGACCCATTCCCGGGCCAGGGTCCGGGGTCCGGGCACCCTTTTAGGCTTCACACCTTTCTCCAACACCCCAAATCCCGCGCCCCAGCCTCCTCCAGGTTCCTGTTCTCGGCACAGTCGGTAGAGCCAGCCAGGTCCACACTGGGACGAGGCGGGGCCCTGAGGCTCTGACCCCCAGGGCCACCCTTCCCCAACCTGCTGGGCATGGGCTCTGAGGGGACTTCTGATGATCAAATCCAGGTGGTGATAAGGGGGTGGTGTGCCCACTGGCAGCCACGGTGGGACAAAGCCACCGCAGGGTGCCAGGTGCAGCACCCCCGCCATCCCAACGGGGCTGCGGGCCCTGTCCCCCCTTACCTCCCTCACCCCCCTGAGAGTTCTGCAAACGACCTGGAGGCAGTTGCCTTCCTGGGGTGGGTGGGGGGCGAGAGAAGTTGGGAAGACCCTGAACGAAGGGCGTGCTCCTGAAAGGGTGTGGGGAAAGAACCAATATCCCCTACTCACCCGCGGCAGCGCGGGGGAGACCCGCCAGCCCTACAGTTGGGCTGGGCGGGGACAGAAGAGGGGCCGCCTCCGCCTCCGTCGCCGCCGCCGCCGCCCCCCCCCCCCCCCCCCCCCCCGCCAACGGCTGGGCGCGCCGCGCTGCCGCCAGCTGAGTGAAGGCGCGGAGCCCGGGAGGGCGCGGGCGCGGCGGGCGGTGTGCGGAGCGGGTGTGCACCGAGCGGGTGTGCGCGGAGAGCGCGAGGGAGGCCAGCGCAGGCGAGGGAGTGAGCGTGCCGGGGCGGCCGTGCGTGCGCTCCGCTCGCGCCACAGGTTCGCCCCGAGCCGCGGAGCCGCGGGGTCTGGAGCCGGCAGCCCGCATAGTCGCGGAGATTGGAGATCGGAGGAGGCCGGGGCCAGCCGGGAGCGGGGGGGAACCGGCGGCCCCCTGTGAGCGCGCCTAGAGCTCTCCGGGGCGGCGCGGGCCGGGTCGGGGGCTCCCCCGCTGGACGGCGCGCCCGCTCGCAGTCTTGCGCGCTCCCCGCCGGCTCCCTCCGCTAGGTCCCCGCTGGAGCCAGAGCCGCGCCCACCATGCGCCTCAACGGCTCTGCGCCGGTTCCCCGGGGCGCGCCGGGCGCCAAACCCTTCCCGCTGCCGCCCTCGGGGCTGGAGGCGGCGCTCCTAGCCCCCGGCTTCGGTAACGGCACTGGCAACGAGTCGGAGCACCTGCGAGCGGCGCCCAGCAGCGACCTGGACGTGAACACGGACATCTACTCCAAGGTGCTGGTAACCGTGGTGTACCTGGCGCTCTTCGTGGTGGGCACGGTGGGCAACTCGGTGACGGCGTTCACGCTGGGGCGCAAGAAGTCGCTGCAGAACCTGCAGAGCACCGTGCACTACCACCTGGGCAGCCTGGCGCTGTCCGACCTGCTCATCCTGCTGCTGGCCATGCCCGTGGAGCTGTACAACTTCATCTGGGTGCACCACCCCTGGGCCTTCGGCGACGCTGTCTGTCGCGGGTACTATTTCCTGAGGGACGCCTGCACCTACGCCACCGCCCTCAACGTGGCCAGCCTCAGTGTGGAGCGCTACCTGGCCATCTGCCACCCCTTCAGGGCCAAGACCCTCATGTCTCGCAGCCGCACCAAGAAGTTCATCAGTGGCATCTGGCTCGCCTCGGGCCTGTTGGCCGTGCCCATGCCCTTCACCATGGGCCAGCAGAACCGCAGTGCCGACGGCCATCACCCCGGCGGCCTGGTGTGCACGCCCGTAGTGGGCACCGCCACGATCAAGGTCGTCATCCAGGTGAGCAGCTGCATCAGGGGAGAAGGGCGGGGAAGAAGCGGGGTCTGGCCTGGGGGCAGGGTTGGTAGGCCCTCCCTCAGGGGCACCTCCGTCTTCTCTTTCCCTCGCCTCGAAAGTCGTTTCCAGCCTGTGCACCCTCTGGGTCAGGGAGGGAGAGGATGTCACCGGGAAATATTACTCCTGCGCAGCTGGGAAGGGGATGGGGGCAGGGCCTGGGAGCTCAGCCTGACCCCCTTCTCCCACCTTTCACTCCAGAGCTGCGAGATCTCACCCCTGCATCTCATCCCCCCCTATCAAAGGGAGCTGGGCCCTCAGATCAGTGACGTCTTGGAGGGTCCATAGATGGGCCTCCGCTGTCCCCAAACTCCCTGAGATTTAAGGTAAACATGTGTGCCGGAGGCAGCTCCTTTCATCGGCTTTCCAAAAGGCTTTGTGGCCCCAGGAGACTAGGTCTGTCTCCTCTGCAGCAGAGCCCCCAGGCCAGCACTGACGTCCTCCCACGCCACCCCCCAGTGCCTCCTGGCTGCCTTGCCCCCACTCACGCTTGGAAGGTGGAGGCAAACTTGATACCACCCGGACTGGTTCCTTAGTTGAGCCTCAGTATCCCCATCTGTGAACCAGGTAATCACAGCCCGACCTCAGGTGGTAGAGGATTCAGGAGAAAGAGCGTGGGAAGCCCTCGCATGGTTCCCAGCACATGGAAATGCTCAGAAGCACTATTTTGGTGGTGGTGATGACAAAGTTGTTTCTGCTGGGAGGATCTTAAGGTATTTGGGCGCGGTGGCAGGTGGGAGACCTGTGTGAGGTGGACGACACTGGAGCTGAGTGACCAACAGCCCTCCGACGGTCTGAGCAAGGTGCTACGGGAGCCCAGGTGGGAGCCCTCCCTGGAAATCGGCTAGGATGAGGCATCCTGGCAGGGTGGGGTACGCCAGCCTGGAGAGAAGGTTTCTCAGTCAGGGACCACCTGGGCAAGGGCCCTGCGTGGGAGGATGTCTGGGCAGAGATGCCACTTTGGACAGCATCCTGGCCCTAGGACCGGGTAGCCATGGAGGTGCAGGGTGGGATGGGGACGGGGGTCTGGGCGGGGCCTGCAGGTGCTCAGCAGAGCCAGAGGAGGGGGCCAGGGTGCTCCCGCCCCGTACCTGTCTGGCTATCCTTTCACACCTCCCAGCAGGGCTCCTGCTGGAAGTAGGACGGTGTGCTGGGCTGGGGAGCCGGCCACGCGGGCAGGACTGTGGTCTACGCATCACTCCCTGGGCTGTGGCAGACCCTCCACAAGCCGCCACCCTGGCCCCTGACGCCGGTGCTGAGAACTTGTGGCTACAGGGTCCCCTGCGTGCTGAGGGCCCCCACCCCCAGCACATGTCGCAGGGAGGTTAGTAGAGCCTGGCTGCCCGTCTGCAACGCGGTCCCCGCACTGGGGACAAAGCCACACGGGGCCGCGTGTGATGGACGGTGGGAAAGTGTTCTCCCGAGGCCTCAGAGGGCCCTCATTGTCTCCCTAGCTGCTGTCTTCGATCGTCTGTGCAGGGGCCTCCCCCGGTCTGCGCCCGGGGCTGGGGCACAGCAGCCACACTGCCTGCCTTCAAAGGTAGGAAGTGGCAGGTTCGGGGGTCAGCAGCTCAGGTCGCTAGCACGCCCTGCCCACCCAGGAGCCGCCTCCGCTCAGCCACCTTTCCGGCGGCTCCCAGGGCTTGGCCAGGAGCAGGCGGGTTTGAATCATCAAAACCAAGCCGCAGCAGAGCAGAGTGCACACAGCTCCCCTGAAGCATCCTCTCTCCGCTCCTGCCTCCTCTCCGTCGGCGCCACGCAATCAGACGCCCAGTGACACCACTCCACCCCCCCAAGGGCCGTTCCTCGGAGTCCCTGTGCTCGGAGGCTGCGACACCCACACCGCCCAGGGTGTGGCTTCGGGGCCACTGGGCGTCCTGGCAGATGTCTGCTGAGTGGTCACGGCAGACAGGCCCCCTTCTGTGCCCACAGGCCTAGTGCTGCCTGAGCATTTCCTAGTGCTTGCTGGCTTCCTGACGCCCTCTGAGACTGGACCTCATCTTCCCCCAGAGACCCCAGACTCCAGGTGCCCTCCGCTCTGGGCTGACCCTGTGGGTGGCTCCCAGGAGTGTGGCTGGGGCCTCACCACCATCCCCGCTCCCTTCTGCATGCCCTGCTCCATCTCAGGAGAGGTGCCCTGGGTTCGTGTCCCCCACTTGGGCTTCGGGGCCACTGGGCAGGTCAGGGTGAACATCCACTGTTTTTAAGCAGTGATGCTTACCGGGAGGAGCTGCATGCTTGCATCCATGTGTCTCCCTCTCACCGACCATGTTGGAAGTGTGGAGGTGTCAGCCAGTCAAATGGCCCCTCTTTTCAAAACAGGAATGTCTGCATGTCTCCCAGGAGGCCGCCAACCCCCCTCATCCACAAGAGCCCATGCTGGGTACTTACATGCACAAGTCATTTAGAAATGAGGGGGTTTGGGATCAGATTTCTGAACAACTTTGAATAATCATTGCTCAGTACTGCTGGGCATTTTCTGAGTGTGTCGCCTGGAGCTGGGCTAAGTGGAGCTTGGTCAGAGGGCAGGGCAAGGCCCAGGCCAGCGGAGGCCCCAGACCCTGGGCCCCAAGTTGACGGGGTGGCTGGGAGGAGGAGCCCACAGGGCCTGCTGCGTTCCCTAATCCGGTCCCTCCTCTGACCCCAGAGGGGAACTGATTCGGTCTTTCCAACAGACTGTTGGTCACAGTGAAGACTTCTTGCCATTGAGGGGTCTTCCCACTAGAAAGTCCCCCCGAGAAACAGTACCGCCTCCACCATTCACTCCATGCACCATCTCCCCAGGGTGCACAGCGGCCCCTACGGGTGGCCCTGCCTGTGTGGATCAGCGTACGTGGTTTGTGTTTGATCCCACTGCAGTCCTGCCCGGTCCCCTGCTCTGACCTCAGGCACCATGTGGATCCTGCTGTCCCAGGCTCTCTGTGGCTGGCTTCAGGTGGGGCAGGGCCCATGTCCACCCCTCCAGTGAATGTGTGCTGTGACCAGTGACCAGTGGCAGCAGAGACCTGGGGGGTTTGAGCGTCTGGTTCAGATCTGACTTGGCCAGGCACTTGCCCAGCTTCATGCTCCCGGCGGCCCCCCCGCCCTGACCCAGGACTCAGTGGTGAATATGCTGCCTGCCCCAAGACAGTTGCTAACTTGGTCACCAGCTTTGACCCAGTTCCAGCCACAGCTCCTAGACACATGCCGTCCCCAGGTGTGTTCTCATTTTCCCAGTTAAAGGAGGGTAGGGGAGGTGCTGACCCCCTACAGTCCAGTGTTCTAGAGCCTGGGGGTTGTGTCCACGCATGTGCAAACATATGTAGATGCACATGCAGAAACACATACACAGACCTCCGCGCATGAACGTGGAGACACACAGAGATGTAACACATGGACGTAGACGGCACAGGAGACACACGTGTGCACATCACGTGCACACACAGCACCCCATCCGTGTTGCAGGCTGTCTCTGCCACTCAGTTAACAGAAGGGTGTCTGGGAGGCCCCATCCTCTCCATCAAAAGTACACAGGCATCTGTGCTGCTCAGGGCATGGGGTATGGGGGACGGACGCACGCACTGGGCAGGTGAGGGAAGCTCGGAGCCCAGACTTCTCTAACGGGTGCCCTGAGCACTGACGCCCAGGATCAGGGTCACCCCCAGCCCTCGGTGCTGGGGCATATGGCTGGGCAGAATCCCAGGGCCCCACGCTAGTCCTCATGTGGTGCCCAGTCCCTGGACAATGTCCGTGGGGATGGTCGGGCTTCTCTGCCGAGACCTGGATATGCTGTTTTCGCAGTAAAGTTGGTCTTTGTGAGGCTCAAACCGGTGGTAAAGTATTTCCACCCCGGGAGCACATGAGCTCTGCGAGCAGGGGCAGAGGGAACCCAGGAGCCTCCCCGGGGCACACCAGCGGTGCCCCGAGGGGAGGGGCAAGGGAGCCGAGGGCAGGGGCGGCGCAGCCTCGCACCACCGTGACGGGCAGAGCCTGGGCGGCCCGCACCAGCAGCAGCTGAGGGCTCTCTGTGCCAACACGTCATTGTCGCTGATGTCAGGCCCCACGGGCCTCCAAGGGCCCCACTCCTGGGGGTCCCCTGCTTCTGTTCACCTTCTCAGACGGAAGTGCCCCTGGCAGAGGTGTGTCCTCTCGCCCTCAGAGCCAAGCTGGGGCGTGGGGTCAGGGAGGAGCTGGTGCCCCACACCCACCGGCCCCAGGTCCGTGGCCTCTGCGACACGCGGCCCTTACGGTCGGGTGTGACTCCACGGAAGCCGAGGCAGCAGGACCCGTCTCCACTAAGTGGAAGAAAATTCGTTCCAGTAGAGTCAGACCATGAGCCATTTTCTCAGGATTTCTGTCCTGTGGCACCTTGTCTGTTCCTTCCCCTGCCCGTGAACCGCGGGTAGCAGCCCGGCCTCAGGGACGCCGGCACTCGTTGGTAACGTTTAGCGAGCCCCAGGGTCCCCACAAAAGTGACTTTGTAGAGGGGAGGGCAGCCACCACACTGAACGGCTCCCCGCTGGTGCCATTGTGTGTGCCCCAGCTCTGCGCCCTGAGGACAGCACATGGAGCCTCCTTCCTGGCCCTCAGGCTCGTAGCTTGAGGGACGTTCCGACCCACGGCGTGCCCAGCGCCGAGAGAGGAGCCCAGCTATGGAGCTGCTCTGTATCCCGGGGATTAGACACAGCGCTGAGCACCACACGTGGTTTCCAATTAGACGCTGGCCCAGAAAGGGAAATCGCTGTGAAGTTCACAGTTGGGACAGTCGCCAAACCCGGGTACCATCCGCAGTGAGTCGGGGATGCACCATCCCTGTGAAGTGTGGGTTCTCATTTTGAGGGTTGTGCTGAGCCTCTGTAAGAAGACGTCCTTGTCCAAAGACAAAGTCCGGCCCCGAGTGCCGTCTGCAGTGCCGGGTGGGCCTGGCCTGGCGCCCACGGGCCATCCTCACTCCTGGGGAAAGTCTC